CACACGAGCACAGTCGAGCCGAGCGTTCAAAACGAGCATTCGATGCGCCTCACCAGTTGTGGTGTAATGTAACATGCTCGCCGCGAATGTTACATTACGAGTAAATGTTACAAGTCAGTCGCCACCTTTAGGTTTGCACCCTCTCTGTGTGGTTCGCTTCTGTCCCAAAGTCAGAAATGCTTCATATTACGTACGACGCGTGTCTATTGGCTAAACTGTAATTTCCAATCGGAAGGTTCCCTAACATTTCAACAGTTAATACGCACCTTCAAACAGGCAACGACCACTTCTCTCCATGGCGTGGCAAGCGAAAGTCTCAGCTGACTAACAGCACATGGCTGTCTGGAGGAGGCGGAACAGAGTTTGTTCTTGTAGCTTCTGCTGTGATCCAGTGTGTGGAGTACCACCGAACCACGAAATAAAGAGAGAACACTTTTGTTTGTCGTGCTGCAGGATTTGTGACAGCAGTAAGGCCAATGAGGTATACAAAATCACAAAATACTCATTTGGGAAATTTGTTAACTCTAATTTGAAGTATATTCTACAACTCACATTTGTTTCATTTAGTATAGTTTGGGGAAGAGACAGTTCGGACTATCGTAAGGATTCGTCTAAACCTGTAATTGTGTCGTGACGTGTACCGGAAAACCCGTTGATGAGATTACGTTGCTGTGGGTCTTCTCGTTTGGAACTTAAGCCCGTCGTGTTCTCAGTGCTTCGCCATTTGAACATTGCGTGTCAAAGGGTTTAGTGCTGAACGAAGTTTAGACGGGAACTTTGGTTATCACTGACAATTCAGTAATAATGTGACTGTTCATATTTATGAGCGCGCAGGAGCGAGATAGGATTTTCCGGTTCGTCACGACTTTGTTCAGACGAGTGGTGGGCCCATTTGGGTACCAGCGGCTTTTTAGGGGGTAAAGCGGCCGGATCGAAAAGCTAATCACTAATATCAAGATCTAACTAGTGCGAAGGTCTAGAATATGTTGTGTTTGTCTTAGTTTCTTCTGTAAGTCTGTACAGCATGATTCATACACACGTGGGCAGCTAAGTTGTACAGATCGATCTTTCTAAGCATCCTTAATATCAATTTTTTTAAAAATTATTGAACGGTTTATTCTGTTGTCATATATTTTAGGAAGCGGCGCGGTAACGTGAAAGAAATTCCAGTTCCGTGAATCTAATGGGGGTACTGCTTTATTTATCTGAACTTACGTTTGTGAAGAATTAGAAGATGAAGTGTGGAATTGTCCATAAATCTACTTGCAGTAAAATTAAGGTATTTTGAATCGTATTCATACGATTATAAGAGCATATCAAGTATTATTGCAATAAAAAATAATATTTTACCAAACTGTATCGATTTTGTTCAGATTTAATGGAGATGCTTAATTAATGTAAATATAATTGCTACGAAATATTAAGATTAATTCGGATAATTTCCTGTTCTTTCACGTAGGTTTAACGTTGAAGGAACCTTATATATTCGCACTGGGTGTCTGTGTTCCATAAATTGTGGCATACAGACTTAATTTCAATGCCTTAATATGACCTTGATAAAGAATATCCTCCATTATTCTTAGTCAGTTGTAGCTTGAGTGCAAAGAGTTGATTTATCGACATGCTCTTTCTAGTAACCCGTAAATTTTTGTAGTACGGCATTAAGAACTGGTGGTACTGAAAGTGGAAGAAATGTGGAGGCCGAATTGCAACAAGCCCAGTGTGGGAATTTTAGAAAGAATGGCGGCATTCGAAAACTGCAATGACCGGCAAGCCGTGGATAGTGGTAAGTTTGATCCAAGTAAGAAAGACGAAACACTTTGTTATGAGTGAGATTTCAGGTTCTCCCGACGGCGTGTCCGAAGATGGCTGTTTTTCCAGGTCGTTGCGCTGTAAAGTTCGGTAGAAGTTTTATCAACGTTTCATAGGATGATGGGGGGGGGGCAGCAAGCACCTCTGAAACGTCGATGAACTTGTACCAGACTGCACAGTGCGACAGACATCTTCCCTTTGTTCCAAGCTTGCAGATAGACCGCTTTGCGGAACGTGTTATGCGGCTTTATTAATGTAGCGCTGTATTAGCTCAGCCTGCAACCAAAATTACGTGTTTAGGCCTGTAGGACATACCCGAACGCAGAGAATGTCGCAGTGGTCGAGGAAGGAAATGTGAAGGGCGTCTTTGTTATTGTATTCTCTTAGAAACAAAGAACTTTGGTCTTGTCCTATCGTGCTTGGTTTCCGAACTACAGAAACCGGCCTCATCGGGACTCGAACTCTTGACGGGTTTCTAGACTTTTGACCGTCGTTATGTTCGCTTGCAGGTCTTAAGGAATAACAATGTCAAGTTTGGTGCGTCTTCATCTAAAAGTGAGCATATATGCCCAGAACGTTAATTTTATATAGCTAGAAGATGTTCAAGGAAGTAATATTAAGCAGTGTGCGAGTGGGGAACACATTTGGAATGTTCGTGTACTCCGAAGAGTATTTCTTTCCAATCTTGTTATTATATTTTGGCATTTGGATAAACATTCAGAGCTGAATTCGCAATGCAATCAAATAATAAAATTAGTTAAACCCTTGGCGCCGTAATTGATAATTGACAGAGGGTTTGTGGTTTTCTGGACTGCAGCCCACGCTGAAGTGGGTCTAATGACGTTTCGTGTTACGTGCATGGGCACATGACTTAAAATACCCGGTACACTTTGCTCCCATATGTGCATAGGAGTGCCGGTGAATTGTAAGAAATGTGCCTAATAACAGGAACTGAGGTGAATGTGCTCTTGGGAGGGAAATTCCCTCACGTTCGCCGTGCCTTCCGCGCACCTGTCACATTTCATTTACTCCTGTTGATAAGGCAGCTCTCTGCAAATCGCACAAAATAACTACGCTTCGTAATTATGAAGATGTAATTTCCACCACCAACTCTGTTTGAATGAAAGCGCGCCAAGGAAAGTTCTTGAGACCGTAACTCCTTTTAGCCCTTTCCCCGCCCGAGGACCATTTGGACGGGCCCTGAAGCGTATCTTCAAATGCTTCCTGTAGCCCACCTAAGTCTGGCTTCGTTTTAGTCAGGTACGAATTATGTCCGATCCATTTACAGTCTGTCTTGACTGTAGTATCATTAATACGTTTCTTTTCACGATTAAATGCATCTAGTCCTTGAATTATTTAACGGCGCTTTTAAACATCTAAGGTTATTTAGGGGACGGTACAGAGATATCATATGCGAAGTTTATAAGGTGTTTTCTCGAACTGGAGGGGAGCTGCGACAATTCCCGAGAAAATAGGATTTATGGGACTTGTTACCGGAGTCTTACTGTGTTACGAGCTAAAAGTACGCGCAACTACGAATCAGTTTTTCTTTGCGGGAAAAGAATGGCCCGAGAAAACCCAGAATGCTGTTAGCATTTCCACCTGGCCCGGAGCCGAACCAAAGGTGAATCGGAAATACGGCTGATTTGTTTTCGAAATGCAGCCTGTTCTAATCCCGGACGTAGCATCAGATATCGTGGCCGACGTTTAACCCCGTTCTTTATATACTAATACCGGGTTAGCGGCTTAAAAATTTGCCTTCTTTACAACGGGCTGTGCAAGAATAAGTCATGTTTTGAAAAGAGGTAATTTAGACAAAGTGTAAAATCCGATCTCTGACTGTTTCAGGTGAATTCTTTCCAAGGAACATGATACCTGAGCCAGAGTTGTGTACGTCTGGTACAGATCTGGAAAAACGTAACCGGCGGAACAATGCCGGGCCCATTGCACCACCACTGCCCCCTCACAACCCTGTGGGCCTTATTGTACCTCGAAAACCGCAGAACCCATGCCTTGAGTCAACAGACCACAAGAATCTTCACAGAGAACTTCTCTTCAACCAGAAAATGTAAGTTCTGTCGTATATGTGTGTGTGTGTGTGTGTGTGTGTTTTATTAAAAAACTGGGATGACTTGTCAGTGCGTGAACTGACTGACTGCTTTTTAAACAGCCGTCATTTGATTCTTGGCATTGGCGGGAATTTTTAGACCCCATTGTAAACTACATAGTGGATTTAGTCTGAACTTCATATAAAGTTTTAAAGTTGTTTGTTACAGTGGCAAAAATGTGCTGAACCAGAAGTCAGAGCTGCAGAGGGCCCTTGAAAAACACAAAGAACATCAGATAAAGAAAGAGCTTGAGCAGCAAAAGCAAGAGAACAAGTCTGCTTTGGAGAGGGTAATTGAGGAGCGTGCCAAGAAGCTAGAAACGGTAATGACCATCTTCTCTGGGATCTATTTCGTTTCTGTCATTTGATACAGTTTGTTTTATTTGGGCAATACTCAATTAACATATGTGCAATTTGTGGTGAGCTAAACCACGCCATCCAGCACATGCTCAGTTTCTGTTAGAATTCATTACCTGTGCCATTAGTGCACAGAAACTTTCATTTTGTGGTTCACAATATTGAACCTCTTGCAACTGCCTTAAAACTGGCTCATTTACCTTTCAGTAAGTAACTTTAGATGCTGCTTAACTGTATAAATACAGATTGACAGAATGAATTTGTATGAGTTATGTGTGCCCAGGAGACTTAACAGTAAGTTCTGAACCAGTTGTGTGGTTTATAATAATATCATGTCAGGGAATATTTTAGGTCATGTATTTTTACTGACACTTTTAATATTGTTGTTATTATTAAACCTCTGAAAATTACTCTATAAAAATGTTATTTTAGCAGTGTTTTCTTTTGTCCCTCTTACTCCTAAGAATATAATGAAAATGACTTCAGATTAAGAAACAGAACAGTGAAGATGCAACTCTCCTGTTTGATTTTTTTACACATAGAATTCAACATGGCTCTTTAAACATATTTTAAATGTTTACTGTATTTTGTGGAGGATGGGTCAAGAGACACATTTCTAATGTCTTAGTAACATAACTGCTTTACTAGATTTCTGCCTTCATGTCCGCATTGTTAATAGGTTGATCTGAGCATAATTTTAAAATTATTGAATTACCTCCTACAACAGAAATTCATTCATATTATCACTTGGAATTTTGATTGTTCTGTGTTTGCCTTCGTTGGAAAAATACTATAATGGATATAGAACAAACTATGGTTAAATGTTAAACAGGTTTGCCATCCCTTCCCTTTTCTTGTTCCTTCTTCGAAGCTTTCTCTTTGCACCCTTTGGAATTTGAAAAAAATGTTAATGATGGATGTCATCTAAAGTATGTTACATTTTTCAGCTGGAGAAACCCGAAGAAGACAATAAGAAATGCAGACCTGGAGAACCAGAATTCATGAAGATTCACGCCAAACTCCGAGCAAGAATGGACTCAAAGTGATTTGTAGAGAGACCTGTGTCAGCTACTAACCATGTCAGAACATCACTTTGCTGACAGATCTGTAGATAACAAACAGTGTGACAATGGCATTTATTATTAAGTATGGCAACATTGTGATCGTCGAATATCCAAAAACATGTCCATTAATATTGCGACTGCCATATCCTGTGGATCATGAGTACTTGTCTGTCTGCTGCACTTTAGTCATTTAGGTTGTGGATTGTAAGTATTCAGAGCATGCTGGCCTCTATTTTAATATATTACAAACCTTTTACTGGTTGCACTGAGCATTTGTGTAAATGGACCTTCATTGTCAGAAGAAATTCTGTTTTTGTCCATGAACCAGAGTATTGTCTAATATTCTGGACCTCTTCCTAATGCTGCGCTATAATATTAGGTTACTGTACAATTGATAAAATATATGACGTGACGGATCACCGCTGAGTCTCGGATGTTCCTGCGCATTTACTGTCAGATGCCCTTGTGAGCTATGCAGTTCCAGTCACTTGCTATGTACTCACTGAGGCAATAGTGTTTGTGTATTTGTAGTATATTGCGTGAATATAGTGTTTACACGAAACAAATTTTTGGTATTCAGCATTAAATGCACATTTGAATATTTAAAACATGGAAGGTTTACATTACAGGTGCCAGGTTCTGCATAGGCAGGCCAGAGAGTTGGTGTGTGAAGTATTCAGATACTTCATGCGTGTAACAGATGCTGGCCCGCTAGTCTGTTATGTTACCAGGGCATGAGATGTCTCTATCTCTCTTTCTTTCTCTTTCTGTGTCATCTGCCTTTGTTAGTCAGTATAGGCGGTTAATTCAGCATTGGAGTTCTGATTTATTGGGTTCATACATCAAATAAAGTATTAAGATGTCTTAACTTCTTCAAATTCCTGTCATTCTGAAGGGAGCAATTTAGACATAATGGAATATAAGGAGTAAAAATTTAATTATATTCTGAAATTTGTTTGCCATAGGTCTCTTGTTAAAATAACAAGTTTTAAAATAATTTTATAATTTAGATTGTAACTGGATAATTTTTTTTTTGGTTGTGACATACATTTATGTGTCCGTGTTAGTGTGTCTTATATTATGGCACAGATGGTTGTCATTCAGATTTAAATACTTCCCATATTTCTCCTGTAGTACACTGAAGAGAGGTTTTTGATATCTTTTGGCCAAAATAGTGTCAAAATTTCTTTATTTGAAGATATGGCTTTTGTAATGTGCTTCAGAAGCCCAGTATGGGAGTGTCAGATGTGCAGGAAAACTCTGGTTAAATGACACAAGTTGGCGTAACCCTGCAAGGGCTTCCCAAACCAACAGCAAATTGCTGTTTTCCATAACAGACCATATTTTATTGAATATATTTTTATTGCTTGCAGACTTGTTTTAAGAAAAAAAGGCTGTATTTTAAATGTTTATGCTTTTTATTTTTATTGATAGTTTCAAGCCATATAATCAAGAATAAACTTATTTATCTCATGAAGATACCAAATTATAACAAACAGTACTTAATGCATGGAGCTGAGTCCTTCCAGCAGTCGCTCAGCCACTCAAGAAGTTCCCAACATTTTATGGAACCTGAAGGTTCATTACCATATTCACAAGAGCCTGCTTTGGTCCCTATCCTGAACCAAAGGAATCCAGTCCATACCACACCATCCTGTTTCTCTAAGACACATTTTAATATTATCATCCCACCTCGTCTAATTCTTCCTAGTGGTCTCTTTCCTTCTGGTTTACCCATCAACACCCTGTATGCATTCCTCTTCTCTCCTATGTGGGCTACGTGCCCTGCCCATCTCATCCTCGACTTGATCAGTCTAATTGTATGTGGTGAGGAGTACAACTTATGAAGCTCTTTATTATGCAACTTTCTCCACCCTCCTAATAATTCGTCTCTCTTTGGTCAAAATATTCTTTTCACCAGCCTGTACTCAAATACCCTCAGTCTTTGTTCCTCCCCTTATTGTCAGCGACCAAGTTTCACACTCATACAAAACAACAGGCAAAATTATAGTTTTGTTTATTTTAATCTTTGTTTTTAGACAGCAGATGAAAAGACTACACTAAAGTTTTTGAACTGATTGGTAGCAAGCGTTGCTCATATTTAATCTCTTCTTAATTTAATCATGAATCAAATTTTGATTTGTTTTGTTACTGTCACTCCCAGATGTCTAAACTTTGCCACATTCTCAAGGGATCCATTAGCTATCTTTATGTTTCAGTTTTACCCTGCATTCTGGTGACGAGACATCAACATATGCTTAGTTTTCTCTGTGTTTCTTCTAGACCAACCAATTTAGAGCTTCTGTGGTTTTATTCATGGTATTTATGTTATTGACCATAGATTTTCATCATCAGCATAGACCAGAAGCTGATGTGTCTCATTCAATTTCAGTCCCACCTGGTTTACTTGGACCTACATAATTGCATATTATAAGCAAAGTTGAAAAGCATTTCCTTGTTTTAGACCATTTTGTATAGGAAATGTGTCAGACAATTATTACTTACGTGAACTTTATATATTTTGTTTAAACACATTTGTTGGCTGTCCATGACTGCTTATTCAGTATATTCACAGCGACCCTCCATATCTAGAGGCTGTCTCCTCCATCCACAACCTGAGGATGTTCCATGCCATGGTGACTAGGGACGCACGATGCGTGGTTATAGCAAACAGTAGGTTTATTCATTATTTATTAATGTTGAGTATGACTGAAAATACAGTAGTTCAGAAGGTTCTGCACCTGGAAAGTTGATGTTGCTATAAAGTGGACCCAAATTTTTAACGGTACTGCTAATATTCTCAGCATGCAGGATAGCAACATAGGACAAGTGATCCTGCCATAATTAGCCTCTGGATAATGAAAATTGCAGGCCTTTTCTTTATCTTTCTCTTTAATGCAATTGAAAAAGCATGCACATTTAAGGCCATTTCATTGTCATGCCTCAGTAGATTCAAAAACCAACATGTAGGTACACTTTTAAAAGCTTCCATTTCAGGTGAAGCATTGCAGCATTTCAGGCTGACTTAAAGTAGTTGAATTTTGGTTTTGTTGTATCCATTGCTGCAGATGAGTGAATGTTGTGATGATACTGCTTAATTAAGCTTCATTCACAACTCTGTAAGAAAACCCGATTCAGCCTGTAAGCTACTGAACTGACCTATTGTTTTCATGCACTTTGTTTCATAGATTGTTGATGGGTCTGGATATGGTTCATTACAAACATTATTGATTCAGTTCCATAAGATAAAATAAGAATTTATTAAAGGTTAAATTCTCTTGCTGACAAGTCAGATGGAAATTGTCATTAATTACTAAATAATTTTCAGAATACTCTTATTTAGCCAAAATTATATTTGTCTAATTTATCATTGTGCAGTGTATTGATAGTCATTTCATTGTACCAGATTACAGTTGTGTTTGTTAGTATGTGCTTCTGGTGACTGTTCAGCAGCTCTCGTTATTTTATTTGACATCGTTCGTATTCATGGTTAAGGATAGATGGGAAAGTCTGTGCTGACAGTGTCCATAAAAACAATCTTTTTGGAACTGGTTTGAAGTCTGAAGTAAATATTGAAAGGAAGAATTACTGTTGAGATTTCAGGTTCTCATGGCAGTAAGTATGACAATGACTGTCTTCTGGGATGATGTGAGACTGCATGGCACAACATGCCAGAAGAAAGTCATCTTCAAGTATTACAATTCATTTGCTTCTTCATTTATGTTGTGTTCTTCAGTTAAGTTTTGATGAAAGTATGTTACTAATTAATTAATGGACATTTCACTGTTTCTGAAAACATTTGACTATAGGAATGCAAATTTATTGTGCTGCTTTTTTTTAATAGTTAACCTGGCTTACCAGTAAAAGATGTTTTATCAGACATCTTTGAAGCAACAGTTACTGTCTGAAATTAGCCATTGTCAATAACAATCAAAAGTTACATATTACAAATGGCCAAAATAGACATGGGCCAACCAATAACCATGGCATGTGAAACCATTCTACATTGCTTTCATATTCCACTTCTCATTTCTTACATGCAGTTAAAATGGTCTATTGAACAGGTACTGCAACAAGTGAAGATGTAATTTAGTATTACTGCTTATTGTAATCAATTATTTTAATAATATCAGTTCTTTTATTAGTGACATATTCAGTTATTCAGTATTTTTAAATTTAAGTGTAGTATTTAAATACAAACACAAAATACTTCTGAAACCAGTAATTCATTGTTGAATCCACCAATTTCCATAGTTTTTGATCCAGTCAGGACATTGGATACATTAACAAATATTAGCCAGTCAAAGTCTGAAATTCAGAACAACAGTTTATTTCAGACTGGCCAATGTTGCATCTTAGTAATGTGTTACAGGAATTTTATATATCATGTTACTGTTGGGTGTGATACGAGATTTCCCTAGGTAATTATTCTTTTATTACACTACTTACATTCACTGTACCCTACCACTGTTCGTCCATGTAATTTATACACTATATTTTAGTGTGTTTAAATATTGTATTTTACTGCAACAGAGGTTGAAGATAGTAGTTCTGTTGATATACAAAATAACTTGGGTTACCACTTTCCCCTTTATTAATAGCAAAGTGGCAATGTGAAAATGCTGACATTTTGATTCACTTTATCAACAAAAAATGAAGCATTCTAATGACCAAGAGAATGCAGAGTAAGACTTTTCTTTTTGAAACCAGGTTGTATTAATTCTGTATCCCTTTAATACGTTTGCAAATTTTGAAAGTACATGGCCCCCCTCCCCCAGTATATGCTTTCACATTGTATAATGAACCAGCTTTTGTAGTCATTGCACGATGTTTTTCTGCAGGTACTTCCTCGGTGATTAGATGGCATTGTCTCTCCCTCCTGAATGTGAGAGGAACAGTCATCTTGAAAAGAGCTCTTAAAGAGTAAATAGATTTAAATGGACACTTACTCCATTTTTTCCTTGCAATGTGATTGTTACTCAGCTAGTAAAGAATTTGACAGATCTAAAAAACATGAAAAAATTGTAACTCATTCTGTTACTAAATTTTTTGTTGTAACAGTGAGATCAAATTGTGAAACAGAGCCAAGGAGAAGAGCACAAAAGGTTATGTTGATGGCCCAGATTTGCAATTGACAGAAAGTTATTAAACAAATATTAAAAATAGAGTATGATGGTATCCTGTTAAAAATAGTGGTGATAATTTGAGTGAGCAAATGCGAGTTTCACAAGTTTATTTCTATGTTTAAAATTTTGTAGTTCACACTTATGTCATATTTTCTGAAATCATCAGAAGTTAGTATTTAAAACTGCAATTAGACTCAAAAATATTGGTAGAAATTTTAGTATTTATTAAGACCAGAAATGAACCACATGGATTTTTTGTACTGTGACTCCATATTTTTATAAGTGTGCAGTCACACTTATGTATTTGTAAAAGAAATACAGGAAATGATTGAAGATCTGTTTCTTCTTGCAAGTTAGAATAATTTGGAAAGCTACTTGTGCCTTCAAAACCTGCTGCACTCTATCTATGAGGAAAAATGAGTAGCTGCATGGTGAACTCTATATATAGCTGTATTCATAAATATTTGCTGTTTCTATACTGGAAGCTGAATCATTGTATATAAGTACTAGTGTATAAAATGTTTCTATTTGTTATTATGTAATTATAGTATCCTTTGTGTGAGACATTTATAAGAAACATTTACACTGTAAAGCAAGGAGAAAATTTATTGCAGTTTTAGTACATAACATGGCTTGTAATCAGCTGCTCTGTAATTTTTTAGAATGGACCTGATATTTATGTTGAGTTAAGCTATTAAAATTATCAGTCCTTTTTATGTATTTAATTGTTTTAAGACAGCAGTTTGAATTTGCCTCGTCATACTCATATTTTTTCTACCAAATGTAAACTAGACGTTCTTGGTTGGCAGTAAACCATACCAATACTGAAAAGAAATACAGTTTAAAGGATGTAAGATTTGCCTGTAGTGTGATGTTTCACATTGATAAAGTTGTTTATTTGTAAGAACAGAGGGTAATTGTTTTGGCTAGAGTGGTACTCATTTCGATGAATCAAAACACTTTGGCTTCTGTCACATTGAATTGAATATGCAGACCTACTACTGTGTACAGTTTATGATCTTCGTAAAGATTAACATATTTTATATATCCAGAAAGAGGGACAGTTCTTCCAAAGTTTGAAGATGGATTTGAAGGCATGTTGAGTATGGCATCCAAAATGTGTATTTGTTAGTTTTAGTGTGTCTTGTGTAACTTGCTGTTAATGCAATTATCATATATTGTATTGAATTGTAATGTCAATGTGTTTTGGCAAAAATCAGAAGAATGTAGAAATATAGCTAATTAAGTATGTGTGGTATTTATTTCCCACCTCTTTCAACTAGCTTCGTAACAAGTGCTTAAACAAACTAAAATTATAAATTAGTCTGTATTGTATTCACCAAGTTTGAGATATTAGAGAGTTTGTAATAAACACATAAAGCAATGAAATTAATGTTAAGAGGTTGTGGAAAGAAGCCATAGAAAAAAAAATGTTCAGCCGAAGTGAGTCT